TATATATATATATATATATATATATATATATATATATACCCTTTTAAAGCTGCAGGTGTAGCCTACCTTTAGTCCGTTTCCAGTCCACTGTCTCCTGGGCTGACAAATCAAGCGACTGTGGCAGAGACTTGCTGCGTTTCTTTTTTAAAAGGTCTCGCCCTACACGTAACGTTTGGGTGCCAAGCTGTTTCGTCATTTCTGTAGTGAAAAAATGACATAGGTGGAATGCAAAATAAAATACTTCTCAAGCTGAAACCTGAAAAGATCATCCTACCACCAGGAGTGTGTGGAAAAGCTTGCATCACTTTCATGGTTCAATGATCGAAAAGTACCCAAAATTAATATCTAATTGGATTAGACAAATTAAATTTGAACAATAAAGTTGTAACTGCCTGTTAAATAAACCATTTCAAGCTGATTAAACGGAGTGCATTTTTCAGAATTAGTAGTAGTATCTTTTGTTATTTCTAATTAAGTGGAAGCTGTTGCATGTTGCCCTTCATCACCGGTCATGTTCATAACTTTTATGGATAGGATTTCTGGCCACAGCCAAAGGCCAGAGTGGGTTTGGTTCAGGGACCAGCAGATGCTTTTTGCAGATGATTGGGTTCTGCTGGCTCCCTCCTACCAAGACCTACAGCAGGGGTTATCAACCTTTTTAAGGCAGAGGGCTACTACATGGGTACTGAGTCATAGGGAAGGCTACCAATACTGACCTATGAACTGGAGGGATCAGCGTTCGCCTTAACTACATCCATTATAAGCATATTTTTATTGTTTCTTTTAACTTCTAATTTTCTTTATGATGTCTTCATTTTGAAATCTCAATTAATACTTAAATGCTCTGTATGATTAAAATTATAAAATGCTCTATAAATTATAAAAAATAAAGATATTACAGTTTTGTTTTTTTCAGAAGATGCTGTGGGCATCCCATGTGGCCCCTGAGGGCCCCTTGGTGCTTGGCTGTGCACTGGGCAGTGCACAGCCAAGTGTAAAAAAACTGGGGTGAAAATCAGGTCCTCCAAGTCCAAGTCCAAGGTTTCTTTGCAGAAAAATGGTCATGAAAATAATGTCTCTTCATTCACAAATAAAAATCAGTGTTTAATTTCCATGCTGATTGGATCCAGCTGGTGCTGATTAAGCTACAGATGGGTAACACTCTCCAAGTGGTAACAAGCCTTGGTGCTGCCTGAGAGTTCTGTTCAGTCCAATCCTGCCCTGACCTTCTTTTCTTGTCCTCCACAATTCCTGATTTCCTGCTTTTCCTAAGGATGGTTGCTAACCTCTGGTTGTCACGTTAAGTTCCGTCTCCTGATCATGTCTGCATGATGCCTGCGTTTCTGCCTCGGGATTGCTTCTCCTGCATTCTCATCTGCACGTCCCACTAGACTTGTCAGCGTCGCTCCTCCTCAGCCAGAACCCTCCACTGCCTGAGACCAGATCCAGTGTCGCTGATCATATCTCATCTGTTTGGAAATAAATCTTTTATAAAACATCTCTGGTTGTAGCGTCGCTGTATTCTGTATCAGAGAAGTTTTCCAAAAACATATCATTCAGATGTTAATGTAACTTTATGGAATATGTTTATCATATATCATAGTTTTGGGCTTTTTTTAAATTGTTCCATTTACTTATGTCTGTTAGTTTTCTCTTATATTATTAATGTTGTATTGCATTATACTTTTTTAATTCTATTGAGATTATAGTGTGAATGTATTAATGTTTTTCAAGGATATGTGTTGTCAGCCTTCTACTGCAGAACCTGATCTAAGGAGGGATCATTCAGATTGGAGGGAACACGTCAGAATAGCCCAAGGCAGGGGTGTCAAACTGGTTCCAGAAAGGGCTGTGTGGCTGTGCAGGTTTTCTTTCCAACCAAGCAATATCACACCAGACTCCAGTCAACTTATCAAGTGAGTCCAGTCTTAACATGATGACTTGATTAGATAACTGGAGTCTGGTGTGCTATTGCTTGGTTGGAAAGAAACCCTGCAGCCACATGGCCCTTTCTGGCACCAATTTGACACGCTCTGTATGATACCCCTGGCCTAAGGGACTATGTAAGAGAAAAGAATTAGACAGCGTATCAATTATGCCTTTTAGTTATATTATTTTGATTATATTAATATTATGACCTTGTGGGAATGCCTTAGTAACAATCTCCTATTTAGGGCCAACTGGCTAGCTGCCATCTGGTCTGACTCAAATGTTGGCAATGAGAGTCCTCTAACTAAAGATCGGGTTGGAGTACTTCGAGAGAACAGGACATCCTAACTCTTAAGGCAGTACATGTTGAAATTTGCATATGTCAGCGGGAAGTTTCGAGTTTCAGTTGACAGGTATGAATTAGGAGATACCACACGCCCCAAATGAGCAAATGAATAAAAAAAAATAAAATAAAAAAAACACACAGCTCGAAGTAGATAGAAAAAGGTTGAGCAATCTGCCATGAACCTTTGGGCTTTACAGAGTTAATAATATATACGTATTTTAAAATTAGCATATTCCCATTCTCTAGCTTTTTCTGTGCCTCTAGCTTCTGTTCCGAACATACGGCTTTACGATCAACCAGAAGCAGTTCCACGCAAACACGTGGAACCAGTTAAATCTGATATATTTGACTATTTTTTTATGTATTTTTTTTTATAAAGCATTTTAAATGCCAGGATAATCACAATTAATGAATTTTAATGCCAATTAAGGCCTTAATTTAAAAAAATAATTTAATGATTTTTAATGACCCGCAGAAACCCTGAAGATTTTACAAATCAACATGCCTAAAGTTGGACTTGGTTTTAATTTACCTTAAAACAATTAGGTCACCTTAGCATTTCTTGTTCATCTCAGCAAAATAGCTAATTTGAATAGAGAGTTTGTTTGACATCAATATTAACGTTTCCTGTGAATTCTCAAATAAAAACTAAATAAAAACTACTACTAGGCTATGGCTATCTAGCGTTGTTGGCGGCAATTTTATAGCTTTGAAGTTGCTTTAAATTTACAGCCAGATAATTCAGAAGAATAAAAAAACATCACATATGCACAGAAAATCTTTAATTTCATTTAAATTAACAGAATCACGTCTGAATCACAGTTTGGGTATCGATCTGATAGAGTCTGTTGGAAAACTCCACAGAAATGGAAACTTATTACAACATTGACATAATGAATTTAAGTGTAGCATTAAAACATTTCAGTTTAAAACAGTAAAGCATTGTAACAATAGCGAATAACCTTTTTCCCCGTTGAGAAAAAGTGCTCCAAGGGAAATGTTACTTTCACAGGAATGTATTGAAGTCACAATGACGTGACTGTATAAGCACAGGAGGGTGGATCACTGCTCTCTACAGCTCAGGAAGGCCCGGCATGGGGAACTGCCCGGCGAACGCCTCCACCTCAGCCCTGATCTCAGCCGCCCGCTGCTGGAACTTCTCCCCCTGAGCCAACGCCTGGATGAACTCCTTCAGGGTGGCCTTTGGATCCAAACTTCTCTGAACCTCCAAAGTTAGCTCAATACCTTCCAATGAAACACATGTTTTTAATCTAAAAATATTTCTTCTAACAGACTTTTCTGTTTGCTGGTAAATAATCTCTTTGCTCACATTACCTCTATGAATGAAGTGAGCCACCTTCTTGAAGTCCTCCTCTACCATCCCTCTGGATGTCAGAGCTGGGGAGCCGAACCTCAGACCACTGGGACGTAAAGCGCTCTTATCGCCTTAGAAGGACAGAAATGCAAAGTGATTAACGAACGATTCTTTAACTAAACCAGAAGTTAAAATTTCACTACAACCTGCTCTTACCTGGGCAGGTGTTCTTATTGCAAGCGATGGCACACGCCTCCAAGACCTTCTCGGCTCTTCCTCCGTCCGTTCCTTTGCTGCGCAGGTCCAGCAGGATTAAATGGTTGTCAGAACCACCTACAGATGGGATCAGAGGAGAGCACAGATCTTTGTTGTATTACAAAAATAAAGATTTGCAGGTCAGTTAGGTTAATGCAAGCAGTCATTACATTGTTCTGTTCATGGTGTAAACGTTTCCTCTGAGGGGTTTGAAATCAATGTTTGTTTCACCTACCAGTGACAATCTTGTAACCGAGGTCCATTAGGGTGCTGGATAGAGCTTTGCAGTTAGCGAGGACCTGCTGCTGGTAAGCTTTAAACTCCGCCGTCATGGCTTGTTTGAGTGCCACAGCAACACCTGCCGATCATGAACATGTCCTCAGTGACAATTCTGTAACTTGCAACCACAAATATCACAGCTCTGCCGTACTGTTAGGGCTGAAACAATTCATTGGATTAATTGATTATTGAAACAATCGTCAGCTAAATTAGTAATCGAATAATCGTCTCCAACATAGAGCAGTAATTATATAAAAATTGAAAAAAAAAAATATATATATATATATATAAACATTTTGCAGGTAAGATTAAAAAAAGGTTTTCGTCTGTTAATATGCTCCAATTCCTCAAGTGGAAAAGTTTTACTTTCACCTGGTTTAATTTCATTTAAAAAAAACTTCTTTAAGGAAGCTTTTTCTATCTTTACCATAAATTTAATCGACAGTTTTATCGATTTGAAAAATAATCAGTTTCAGCCCTACTAACTTTGTTTTGGTTTTTAAAAGAAAGTCTCTGTAGTGAAAGGAAAATAAGAGTTTCAACTTTTTTCAATAGACAGATTGGAAACGTGCTGCTTAGATAAGTCCCACAAGTCGATACTTGTCACTCACACATTGGTTTGACGCTGAAGGGAGAACATAATATGTTGTTCTTCTACACAGCATGTTGCAATCAGAGTGACGAGACCCACACGGAAATAAAGTAAATTTGTCTTAAATTAACTGCATTTTCTCTTGAATTTAGCAGGTAACTGAGACACTTTGCCAATGGAACAAGACAATTTGCATTGTAAATAAGAAAAAAATGATTGCATTGTCTTTCTTAATTATCTAATTATCTTATTTTAAGATTTCAAATACTCTATCCTATTGGCAAATCATCATATTAATCTACTCTGACGGTTAATACACTTAGGGCCGGATCTATCAAAGGTTTGCGTGTATAAAAACGTGAGCTATT